CTGCCACTAAATCATTTTTCTTGGATTCTTGATCATTGGAATCCCACCATGACCGCTTGAAATAAACATTTGGTGTCGCGGCAGGATGGCCGAGAAGGGCAAAAAAAAAGGGGAGGGGGAGAGAGAGGGGGGAGAAGTGGGAAATGAGGATAGAGGAAAAGTGAACTTACTCTGGCTGGTGCAGAGTCAACAAGTGTTGAGACGAAGTTTCGAAGGGAGAAGTTCGCTTTGGAGTGATAGCGATGGGAGCCGAGTGCTTCATTTTATATAATTCTGGATGCCCTTGAACAAGAAAAAAAATGCATTGCAGGTGCTGAGCTAAGCGGAATTTCGCATCTAACCTTTTAATGAAGTCAGAATCGTTTCAAGTCCCGAAACCTGCACGCCTGTAAATGTTCAGATGTAGAAGCCACTTTCCACGTGGCTCGACGTGGTCGATGGCATGAAACTTTGTTCATCTCTTCTTTTCAAATTCGCTCTTACTTCGTCCATAATATATATGGGTGCCTGGAAGATTTTTTCCCCACATATTAATGCAACGGTAATGCCCAGGTATGAACAGTGCACGGAGGATTTAATGCGTGTTTTCATTCGCCTATGTTTTGTAAATCTATTCAACTCAAATTCTTGCTAGTGGATGGAGCAATATTAATACACAATTACTATACTGCTCATATTGCCATGGTAGGATACACATTAAAGAAACAATAATCTTTTGGTTTTTGATGCAAAACTCATTGAAATCTCGCTCATTCAACATGAGTCTTTTTTTTTTCCTTCACGACAAAGAACTACTTGGTATGATTAATTAAACACTCAAATTCGAATCACTTGAGGTGCAGCCACGCTTTCATTGGTGAACAGTGAGAGAAATCAGGAATACCTTGCGGATACTTTTGCATGGGTAAGAGGGAAAGAATAAGGGAGAATTTTCGTGCAATTATCGTGGACATACTCTTTTCATTCACGGGGAGATGTGGGACAGCCAAGTTCCACCATGGCATTCATTTTTATGAGAATTTTTTTTATTTATTTTTCTTCACCTAAATGGCTCTGAATTTCATACTTGCATCGCTTGGTCCATAGATGAGGGGGTTGAAAATTGCACGGAGTGAATTTTCAGAGTTAATATTCCTGCCAGATACGAGACGAAAGAGAGGATTTAGCACATGTAAATGCATTTTTGTCTTTCGATGGATCTGGCGGGGGCAAAACGGATTTGCAATAATATCATACCACGTAAGTGAATATGAAAGTATTCCCCGAAACGATCAGAACTCATTAAGGGAAAACGTTTTGAAATTAAGCGCGCTCAAAGAGAACTTTGGAATAGACGACCGGTTTCACGACTTGAGACCATTTAATTTTTTGCCGCCAGTTTAGCAAAACTGCAATGTTTTAAAAATGCAAAGTTTAGTTCCATCTGCAAAGGTGGCGTAAAAAAGACGTAAGAAATATTAACGAACGCTGCTCTGAGAGATCCATCCAGTAAGTTCGTATATCCAGTGCCCGTTTCCCTCTTTACACTTTTCTTCCTCTCGGTGGGACGTTCTGTTTTGAATTTTGAGACACGGAAATTCGGTCTCCATAGGACATACAGTTTGGACATGGGTAAGTTAAGTTTCGAAAACAACCACCCATCCGGAGATGAAATACACGTCTAGTCGGGCAATGTGCATCGCCCCAGTCTAGCCAATTCTTGTGAAAAGCTCGCAAAGTTTCCTCGATTGCTGCCGTCCAAGTGAGGATCTCAATTGTACAATTGAAGCGGATGATAAAATGCTTAAAACGTCGAAAAAAGAAAAAAAGAAAAAGTCAGCCCTAGGCTTGAGGATTCTTCATGATCCTTCGCTTGGTTCCCGAAAAAATAACCTATTTGATATTAAACTTATATTTTTATTACAAAATTCCGTATTATGGGGCTAACGTTAGTTATAGCGGGTTTCTTTCCCAGGCTTTTCCCTTTCCTACACTAGAATAAATAGTGCCTGAAGACACATGTGTATGATAGTTCTAGGATCCGAGAAAAATGGAGTTTTCTCCTTAGTCCCACATTTTTACCTTTGGACTTTTCTCCCCTCTAAAGTATAAACGATAAATCCATGACAATAAGGAAATCAGTGGATCCGTATTCGGCATTTTATCCCATATTGTTACTTGGGTAATAAAAAAAATTGGAAACCGATCGAAGGGCCTTCCTCTTAAATATAACTTTTATTTGGAATGCGTATTGAGATTTGGGGTGTCCCCTTCAGCAGACTCAGCGCAGTCGCCTGTTGCCTGTCCATAGACTTTCCTAACCGTGTACGTTGAAATATCAAAGAGCAAACGAAGATCGCAAGGCATTTGCACGAGCTGAATTTCCACGTGCAAATTGCCTTCCAGCTACGATAATGACCAGGCTGCGCAATATTCGGCCAAGGTTGAAAAACACCATCTGCGGATTCCACGCGGCTTTCATAGCCATTTAGGTGATTCATGCTCAAAAATTACCTGCAGATGAAGGAAACTCAGCTTTTCCCTCTCCCCGTGCATGAATGGAGGGGAAAGCGAAAATCTTTTTCTCGCCCGCGCAAGTGAAAGTACATGAAGCAACCCATTGCCATCATGCTTTCAACCTTTATTTCGCGGTTGGAAATTGACCGGATGAGTTCCAGGAATACGATGAGAATATGACAGTGTTCGTTAATTCGGGGAGTAGGGAATTAAAATTTGTATGTTCTTCCCACGATTTCAAAAAAGGCTGGTGACTTCAATTTCAGCATAATTAAGCTTAACGCCCGTCCGGACTTCAACGATTAAATTTCTTCTCGCGTTTTTCCGTTATGGAAAGAAGAAAGAAACCGCGTGTTCGCCGCTTTTTCTCCTCTGCATGTAGGATTTTGGCAAGAAAGTTTCGAAGGATTCATCCGCCCCCAAATTTTTGGTTAGATGAGTTGGTTGGTGTGGTAGTGAAAGACGGTAATTCCTTGCTGTGGAAATGTTCGGAACATGAAACTAAGCAAGCTGCTTTCGGATTAGGCTTTATGGATGCGTTCCTGAAAAAAAAAATTAGAATAAAGGATTATGCATAAAAACGGATTGGAGGCGTTCTAGCTCAAGTGGTCAAATTTTAGTCACTTTTGTTGGGGTTCAGACTCCGATTTGCTTGCAAAAATTATTGCATGTTGGCAATCAAGACTTACGAAGAAAGACAACATTTTGGTTCTCTGGCTCCAACGGTTTTCGAGATATGAAAATTTTGAATTCCTTAAATTCCAAATGGGGCTTAAATTCCTTGGACCTGCTGGGTCCTATAATCCGGCTTTAATATAATCCGATCGATATTTTTGTCTGGGTGAGGCTGGCAGGAGTGGCTCTCTGCGACCGGCACCGGAGCCACACCCAAACAGCATGTTTATGTTAATTTTACGTTAAATGAATGCAATTTTTTTGTCCATTTTATATCATTTTTGCGCAAACCATTGTCAAGATAATGTCAACATGTTTCCAGAAATGTTATCTCTGTGATACGTAAACGGTGATATAAAATTAACGGAAACTTTACGCAAAATTGACATTCCCCTTTTCATTCCAAACAGCATGTTTACATTTATTTTACGTAAGATTTATCTTAATTTCCCCCTAGCATTCATGTGTATTTAACGAGCCAATCAGTACCTTTGAAGAGAATTAATAACTTGTATCTCCCGCTCCTTTCCATACTTCAGAATTCTAGGGTGGTTGGACGAGTACACGAATACTCGTCCTCACCACCACTCAAGAGTACCAAAATGACCCGCTGATCCCTCCCGGAACCTCGGAAGAAGGAGTAGATGTTCCGAGGAGCTCTCCTCTATTTGGGATAGAGAATACGTAGTACTTGTGGAGCTGGGATTCTGCTCGTCCCTAATCCCGTGCATTGCTGTAATAAAAAGCTCAACTTCAGCATATAATGATTCCCTAATTCATATATTATTTTGAAAAATATATAATAATTTCATGTTTTCCATCTATTGGATTGCATAATAAAAAGTAGAAGGATGGTAAGAAAACCTGATACTATATCCGGAAAGTCAGTACTTAACAGTATTTGTAGGATGCAGGGAACAAGGGTTCCATCTAGTGAGGAATCTTGGTACTGCAACTGCTGAATGGTTAGCTAAAGTTTTATATGGATGGTGTGGTTGTAATTTTACATAAAGTTGATATCATGTACTTCACGTCAGATGGAGTGATGTCTAGTTTATGTTAAATACACGTATACTTTGGCGACTTAAATATAGGAACGTAAATTTTACGTAAATGTGATGTCATTTTCATGGCAATCGAAGAAATTTTACATTGTTTGCAAAAAATTGATATCTTGTTTACGTAAACACGGTGCTTGGGAAGTTTCCATCACATCGACCAGCAAAGTTGGACTTCACCACATGGCGATGGACAAGGAAAATATGCAGTTTCCCGTTTCAGCCTGGAACCAAGGAGATCGTAATGGTTGCATTTGTTCTCCAAGATGATCGTGCGTCCAAGGAGGGGTCATCGAAAATTTGATATAAACACGCATCACACTGAGACACAAACTTTTCACGGCTTAAATCCAATAATTTCAAATCTTGAATATTCATTGTGGGCATTGAAAGACTAATGACCTGTCCCAACTTTGATTGCATGGACATGTGTATGAAAGGCACTTTTAATCTTCACTCGTAGCTCCATTACCTCGAATCACACCTTTGCTTTGAGTTGCTTCTTTTACCAATAGTTCTCACGCGCGTGGCTCACACGTGCAGTTCATCCGTGCAGATGAAGATCTCATCTCGGAGTTCTTGACTGGACTTCCAAGGGCGTTTTGCGCATTGTGTCATGAGTCCATCGTTTCAATACTTGTTGATGTTCGTAGACGCAGGTGAGCACGACTATGTCCATTTACAGGAATGTCCACTTGTTATATTCAAGAGTTATATTCAAAATTGGGATCAGTTCTATCCACACGGAAGCCACGCATTTTTTGAAAACACTTCTTTGAAAACACTTGAAAAGACATCTTTATTACATTCAAGTGGCACAAGAAATTGCAAACTGATATAGTTTTTTAATAAGCAAATCTACATGCATTTCTGTCAGTTCTGTCAGGTTCCTTCATCATAAGTTATCAAAAACCTCGTCGATCCATCGGGTGAACCTAGAGAGGGGAGAACGAGAAAAGCCTTTCTGTGACCATCATGTTTCAAGAGAACGGAGGAAAGGAACTTGGATAACAAAATGTAATTGATTTGAGCAGTCCTCACCTATTAACTTTAGTGAAAACTCCATACTGTCCAGGGCGCCTCAGAGAACAAGTCTCTTTCTGGAAAAAGTGACTCACGATTCCTTCCACCGTCCAATAACTGTCATGTGAGGCATTGGAAAGAAAGACCATAGGACTTCCCGAGTCCCCAGGACACACCGTTCGGTAATCTGTATGGTAACGTTCATCATCATTCTCGATGTCTCATTCATCCTTCATGAATGTGATATAATATTGAAGTACCAGTACACATTTTTTCAAAATTCAGACAAATCGAAATCAATGAAATTCATTAGAATCCTTTTTTACTCCTTCTTTTTTCCATATATCATGAGCAGCCCACATTGGTTCAGAAATGTTTAATAATTCATTTGGCGGCATGATTTCTACATAATTACATCAACAGACCTAAAATCTGTATCAACCAATTCTTTGGGAAATGAAATCGTGGAGGAAAATGTTGAGTTTAGCAATTTTATATTTTCCAAAGTTTTAATTTCCAGATAGCACTTTAACGAATTGGTTGATCGTCCATGAAATAGAAACATGTCTCCAAATGCAGACATTGCCATGCCATGCAGAGGTTACTTCTGGGCCGAATGGAATTCATCTTTCCCTTTCCGAAGTGGAGGAGAAAGTTAGTGTATGGCTAAATAGATTGGCTTTTATAACGAAATAATTCCTTTAAGGTCTTCTTGTTCCGCCAAATGGTAAAAAATGCATGGCATGAAGGTGCTTGACAATCTGGGCATTTGACCTCCGATTTCCTGGTTCTGAGTCATACCTCTGAACCCTAATTTATACGAGTAATGAAAGGGAAGGAATGGCTAAGAAGACTTGAGCCTCTGTGGGAGAAAACAACCCCCGGATCTGCATGGAATAGACAAGACGGGAAGGAGGGAAATTGGGAACGACATGGCAAGGTCTTCAAATACTGAAGCTAATGTTTTCCCTGAATTTGGAAGAAGAACGAAGAAAGAGCGAAATTTATGTACGAGGGTGGGTCATGTTTGACCCAACCTTTTGTTTATAAAAAATTAGGTAGAGCATACGGAGTAATAACTTTGTGGGAATTTGTCTTTATTGTTCTTAACCCATTACCTCAACTGCGTATTTCCTGCTTTAATGCATGTGCTGAAAATCAAATCAAGATAGCGGCAATTGAGGTAGCCAAGAAGATGGAACAGCTCATCTCATCAACGAAAACATCAAAGCGATTGAAATATACGGACAATTGACTGCATAGTATGTCGATCGGTGTCTGTCAAGGACACCCGTACATGACGAGTACAAATTATTCAAGGATGGATGAAAAGCGTACGGAATGAACCGCATGCTGGAAGTTCGGCTACATCGTTCAAGAGCGCGAACATCAAGCGAGTTAAAGATCTAATTTACCGACGGAAGAGATTCTTTTTTCAGACAATCATCACCATAATGTGCTGACAATTGTTTGTAGATGTCAAAAAGATTTGATATTCCATTTGGCCAGAAATATCATAATGATACGCTTTTCCACCTTTTTAGTTACCTCAAATGCCGCCATCTTCATTTTCAGTACTTGCATGAAATTAGGAAACAGACGGTTATTGGTATGAGTCTCCATAAAAACAATATCCTAAAAAAGCTGCATGCTCTACTGAGCCTTTAATTAATAAAAGTCCGGATCAAATTTGAACCGCCCTCGCACATTACTCAAATGCCTACATATATGACGTTGCTTGGGAACATAAAAAAATGGGTCTCCAAATGATGACAAAGCCATGGAAGGGGTCATGCAACATTTGTGACCCTGATTATTTCTTTACCAAACTCACCAATGGAAACCCACCACATGAACAGGTGTTTACCATTATAAAAAATTATGAATAAGGTGCTTAACGCAAGCTCATGGGGCACGACCGATGCTATTGCCTCAAAACCCGTTTAAACAATAATGGAAAATTAATGTCACTGCAATGGAGAACATTCATACCTTCAGGAGAAGTGCTTCTGGAATGACCAGCGCAGAACATATTAGAGGTGAGGGTACGAGTGGTGCTGAAGTCCCCTGTGAAATATGTGGTGTCCCGACGACACAAGCGATTGGATATAACCGGGAGCTGAACATCTGTCAGAACAGCCGTAAGAAGATCCGAACCGTCATAACCCCAACCGGCAACCTGCAGCAATGTGCAGTCGAAAAGGGATCCATCAAACTACGTTCATCCAGAAGACATTCTATTTAAGAGTGAAGATCGATTTCACAATCTACCCATCCGTGCATTCCATCCTGGAGATTTTCGTCAGAAACATCAAATTTGGTCGGGAGACATATCAACTGCACTCGCTCAGTCAGCACGGAAGGCGTTGTTAATTTCAGTAGAGCAATATCTGAGTCATAGTTTTGTATGCTGTAATCCTTATGGTGGAATATGTGAGACACCTATGAAGAAATTGCGGCAGTTTCCATCATTCGGAAATGAATGAATGAAAGTACAATAATTTGTTGTTCATCAAACCTGTCTAATCTGCACGTATTCATCGTCTTCAACATTAGCTCGATGTTGTTTCCCAAGGTAAACAAATAGATCTTTCTTGGTCCGAGGTCTATCGGTACCCTGAATAGTGACACAATGGGCCGCTGTGAGCACCCATTGCTCTTGAATGAGTGCCCCTCCACAAACGACATCCTGTTTTTTGACGTCATAAATGGCTGCCTGCCATGGCCATTCTCCTATCTGTGATGGCTTTCCTCCTTTGGACAATGTCACTTGATAATTCTTTCTGCCGCATACTAGATGAAGGATAGTACGACAATACATTTTCAAAAACCAATCATTTGCATCAAGTAAACATAGAACAGGTTGATTGGAAAACCGACCTGGCTCGCAAAACGGCGAGTTTCCTGTCCATTTTCCATCCTGCGTGCATCTGCGAAGCTTTGGTCCCCTTAGAATGTAGTATTTATTGCACGAGTATCTAACAATACTCCCGAATTCATATTTCCCATCTTGAATGCATTTTGTGTCCTTTCCGTCATCAATCATTTCCGAAGTAGTCGGACAAGATTCAATCCCTATAGATCCATGCGTCGGTGTGCTTAATTGTCCACATCCGGTTGTTCTACCTATAGGCGGATAAAATGAGCAGAACTGTGGTCGTGAAAAAATCTATGTGTTGAATGTGCAAAATACAATTTAGAAAATGTTAGAATTCATGCTTGATGTTTTGCGAAAGTGTTACTTCAATGTATTATGTTGCCTTACCTTATGCAAATTTTTCGGATTCCTGGATACAATGTGAGTGCATGCACTACTAAGTCTTTGATCAGTTCTGTTTTTCTTGGAAATATATGGCCTCACTTTCAATATTACATACCAAAGAAGAAACCTGGTATTGACGAAGATGCCATTGTAGTAGTTTTCGGGATGTATGGCTGGCAGCACAGTTCTCCAGATCGACAGTTGTCCACATTTGAATGAGTTACAGTCCCCGGCGTACAGAGAGATAGCCATAAACTGTTGATGCACTGGTAAGGACATTCACGAGGACAAGCATTTAAAGAACTCAAATTCAATTCATTGAATTCTGTTCCATTGTGGCACTTCCCAGAAACGCTCCTTAGGAATTTCTCGTTGAGCACTAGCCATGAAATTTCACAATCGCACAGGATGGGATTGTCTAGAACAAAGACAAGAAAGAGAGAAAAACATGCTGTTGAAGGAATTATGTAAGATATTTGACAGTTTGAGGAAGAATGAGAAACGGTAAAACTTACCGCTCAGATCAAGGACTCCATCTCCCATAGAGAGGATGTTCAACATCGGGCGGAAGGTCTCTTCGGACAACACAATGATTTCGTTTTCGTTGAGATGAACCGTCGTATCAGGTACGAGACCTGGAATGGAAATTAATAGCGCCATGCGAAAAAATAGCTTGAGATTCGTGGGCTTATTTTGAGTCAAGCTTAAACACAATTCGTATTAGCCTCGAGAATTGCTGAAATGCCTCTCTTGCGGTGAGATACCAATGTTATCAATTGTTTTTCCTAGTGCCAACAAGCATTCAACCATCGGAGCTTCGGTGCATGCCATTGTAAGAAAATATGATGGCATTCAATGAACGATAAACATGTACATTCAGCGTTCTCATCTTTTAAATGAAGAGGCAATCAGTGTAAATCTCACGAAATTCTTATTTCTCGATTAAGTTAGTTTCACCATCAACAGCATTGGGTTGAGTTTTTGTTTATATTCGTCTTTGGAAGTCTAATGCGTTAGGATGACTTCAGGATTACAGCATTAATGGCAAGATAAGGAATCATTAATTTTTAACTTAATCGTAACTTTTCTCCCTGGCGGTAGGTTACAAAAAATGTTTATTTAGTCGTGCGATGTAGCCTTATTTGATGATAACACTGAGGTAAGTTCATTTATCGTATCCCTCATGAAGTTCATCGCTAACGCACTTGTCTTTCAAATAATTCCCAAGGAAAATGAAGTTTTTTCTGCTTAGATGAGGAACTTCCATGCAATAAATGTCACCCTGCGAGGCAGATCTGGACTTGGAAGAATTGCATAATGCCATTCATGGAGAGACTCTTTATATGAAAATTCATGACTTAGATGATGCGGTAGCTGCTATCGATTATCGATTCTGATAGGGGATCACACCTGCAATGGCTCCTGGCTGCAGTCTGGATATTCTGTTGTTGCGGAGGTCTACCAATTTCAAGGCGTTGCTTTGGAATTCCAGGAGACCGCTTGGAAGGGTGGGACCAAGGGTTCCTCTTTGGCATAGAAACTTTTCCAGTTTCTTCATGCCAATGACTATTGCAGTTGGAAACTTTAATGAGGGATTGACACCTGAGTGGAAAGCAAACCAGATTAGTGGGATAATAGAAAGAAGCAGGACCAGATTCACATATTCAGGGTGATGTAAAGAATAGCTAGTGAAGTCACGTTAAATGTTTATATTTATTTTCAGATGTATGCAATCTGCTTGGAATGAGGGACTGAATTAAAAATAAAAAATACACGAGTTTACTTGATGTTTTTGATCGAATATTAAATTAAGAAGTGCAATTTTTAATCTACAAAATAATTTTTCAAGGGGGCGCGTTTTGCTGGTTTATGTAAACACATTCTATCTTGGTGAATCATTGGCTCCAACTACTCCTGCGGAAGTGAAAGAATACTAGGAAATGGCGTAGTGCCATCGCCTCTTTCTAGTATTGGAAGCCTAGGATAATATCTTAACTGAGTTTTATCAAATCCTCAGGGAGGATAAATCGTATTATACAATTCACCAACGCAAATTTCGAAAAGATTTTCATCAGGAATATGAGCTTGTGAACAGCCAGGGAGAAATGAATCGGACTTGAATATGTGGCTCACAAAATGGTGAAGTTTCCGTGTTTATGGATTCCTGTAATGAGACGTGGCGAGAAATATGGCGAGATACTAAACAATACGGCGGAGGATGACTCCAGGGTAAGAGGGAAGAGAATTTTAGCGAAATGTTCGAAATGCCACAGAGGTTACGTCCATTTGGTCACCTGGGGAAGTACATCAAGGTGTTCACTTCAATACCAGCTGTGAAAGAGCATTTAGTAAGCAGTAAAAGGAACGATTGAAAAAGCTCAAATAGTCCTTACGTATTACGCCCTAAACTCTGGAAGTTGTATTTGGGTTTATCATTGAAGTTGGTATGATATGGAACAAATTGGCGCGTGAGGTCCGAAAAGTACGTTAAATTCAAACTGTACAAACGTACGGCTTCAGAAAAAAATACAAGGGGAAGGTTGCTGCAAACATTTTGAAAACAAATATGTTAATGCGACTACCGCCGCAAAGGGGACAACGGAAAGGAGATGTTGCTACATGTCACAATCAAACACTAACTTTTGTAGACAGCGGTGGTAAAATATTCACAGGAATGGAACAGTCCAAAAGCAAGAAACAATCCAAGGTTACAATAAAATTACAAAAATAGTTCTTTCATGCTCACCAATGTCGAATTCCCTCAAATTTGGAGTTGCCCATCCATCGAACTCCACACTCGTAATCTCGTTGGTGTGAAGATATAATATTTCCAGGCTATCGCTCTTGAAGACAGGAACAGAGATCAACGAATTGTTGTGTAGAAAAAGGTGTCTCAATAGGGGGGTCGCCCATTCCTCGAACTCCAGACTAGTAATTTCATTGCTTTGAAGTTGCAATATTTCCAGGCTCTCGAACTTGAGTGCCGGTATAGAAGTCAACAAATTGTAGGAGAGATCGAGATTCTTTAAATTGGGAGTCATATGTCCATCGAATTCCACTTTACTGATCTTGTTGCTTTGGAGTAAGAGTATTTCGAGGCTGTCGCTCTTGAATGCGGGTACAGATATCAAGGAGTTGTTATGTAGATTGAGGTATCGCAATTTGGGGGTTGTCCATTCCTCGAAATCCAGGCTAGTAATTTCATTGCTTTGAAGTTGCAATATTTCCAGGCTATCGCACTTGATTGCCGGTATAGAGGTCAACAAATTGTAGGAGAGATCGAGATTCTTCAAACTGGGAGTCATCTGTCCATCGAATTCCACTTTACTGATCTTATTGCTTTGGAGAAAGAGAATTTCGAGGCTGTCGCTCTTGAATTCGGGTAAAAATGTCATGAAATTGAAGCCGAGTTGGAGTTGTGTCAACCTGGGAGTCGCCCATCTATCGAACTCCACACTTGTGATCATATTTGTGTGAAGAAAGAGTATTTCCAGGCTGTCGCTCTTGAATGCGGGTACAGATATCAAGGAGTTGTTATGAAGATAGAGGTATCGCAATTTGGGGGTCGCCCATTCCTCCAACTCCAGGCTAGTAATTTTATTACCTTGAAGTTGCAATATTTCCAGGCTATCGCACTTGATTGCCGGTATAGAGGTCAACAAATTGTAGGAGAGATCGAGATTTTTCAAATTGGGAGTCATCTGTCCATCGAATTCCACTTTACTGATCTTGTTGCTTTGGAGTAAGAGTATTTCGAGGCTGTCGCTCTTGAATGCGGGTACAGATATCAAGGAGTTGTTATGAAGATTGAGGTATCGCAATTTGGGGGTTGTCCATTCCTCTAAATCCAGGCTAGTAATAAGGTTACCTTGAAGGCCGAATCTTTCCAGGCTGTCGCACCTGATTGCCGGAACAGATGTCAACAAATTGTCGGAGAGATCGACATTCTTCAAATTGGGAGTCATATGTCCATCGAATTCCACTTTTTTGATCTTATTGCTTTGGAGACCGAGCAATTCCAAGCTGTCGCTCTTGAATGCGGGTACAGATATCAAGGAGTTGTTATGAAGATAGAGGTATCGCAATTTGGGGGTCGCCCATTCCTCCAACTCCAGAATAGTAATTTCATTGCTATGAAGTTGCAATATTTCCAGGCTCTCGAGCTTGAGTGGCGGTATAGAAGTCAACAAATTGTAGGAGAGATCGAGATTCTTCAAATTGGGAGTCATCTGTCCATCGAATTCCACTTTACTGATCTTGTTGCTTTGGAGTAAGAGTATTTCCAGGCTGTCGCTCTTGAATACGGGTACAGATATCAAGGAGTTGTTATGAAGATAGAGGTATCGCAATTTGGGGGTCGCCCATTCCTCCAACTCCAGAAAAGTAATTTCATTGCTTTGAAGTTGCAATATTTCCAGGCTCTCGAACTTGAGTGGCGGTATAGAAGTCAACAAATTGTCGGAGAGATCGAGATTCTTCAAATTGGGAGTCATCTGTCCATCGAATTCCACTTTACTGATCTTGTTGCTTTGTAGTAAGAGTATTTCGAGGCTGTCGCTCTTGAATGCGGGTACAGATATCAAGGAGTTGTTATGAAGATTGAGGTATCGCAATTTGGGGGTTGTCCATTCCTCGAACTCTAGGCTAGTAATTAGATTACCTTGAAGGCCGAATCTTTCCAGGCTGTCGCACCTGATTGCCGGAACAGATGTCAACAAATTGTCGGAGAGATCGACATTCTTCAAATTGGGAGTCATCTGTCCATCGAATTCCACTTTTTTGATCTTATTGCTTTGGAGACCGAGCAATTCCAAGCTGTCGCTCTTGAATGCGGGTACAGATATCAAGGAGTTGTTATGAAGATTGAGGTATCGCAATTTGGGGGTCGCCCATTCCTCCAACTCCAGAATAGTAATTTCATTGCTATGAAGTTGCAATATTTCCAGGCTCTCGAACTTGAATGGCGGTATAGAAGTCAACAAATTGAAAGAGAGATCGAGATTCTTCAAATTGGGAGTCATCTGTCCATCGAATTCCACTTTACTGATCTTGTTGCTTTGGAGTAAGAGTATTTCGAGGCTGTCGCTCTTGAATGCGGGTACAGATATCAAGGAGTTGTTATGAAGATTGA